TGAAGCAGCGGGTACCCGCACCAGCTCACGGGCCGGCGTCCACACATCTGGCATGCCCTCTTCTGCCACCACCAACACCGGGAGGCCCCATGTCACTACTGGGCACATGAGTTCCACCCAGATCCCCACTCTGGCTTTCTCCTCCACTCTGGGCCTCTCCACCACCGGCAGGACAGGCCTGTCCTCCCCTGCCCCTGTAACAAATGTCACGACCCTGGGCACCGCCCTCCTTGTGAGCCCTCCAGAGCCCAGCTCCTCCTCCAGTCAACCCCAAGGGCCTCTCCCCACAAACCTCAAACTCAGCAGCATCTCCACGGAGTTCAGCAGTGCATCCACATCATCCCAGGTGCCTCCTGCCTCCCAGACGTCTGCCAGCAACCAGGAGCCCACAAGCATCACTTCTGGGTCCGCAGGCACCTCCAGCCTCCCTGGTGGACTCACCTCATCCACTAGCTGGCCTTCTACTGGGCCTGCCACTTCCCCAGGACAGAGTGCCACGGGGCCTACTGCCACGTCCTCCCTTCTCACTCCTTCCCCTCAGCAGAGCACAGGCCTGCTGCCCTCTAGCGCCCACACCGCCAGGAGCAGTCCAGCCACCAAGCTCACGCCCAGTACTCTTCACAGCCAGGCCACAGTGCACAGCACCATGCAAGGGGACACAGTGCTGAGTTCTGCACTCCCCATTGGGTCCATTGTGCCTGCCACTTCCAGCCTTGCCCTTCCGGGGCAGCCTTCTTCCTACTCAACCCCTCAGACAGTCAGCACCCCCTCTGAGGGGAAGAACATGCTTCCCACCCACGTAGTTGAAGATTCCCTGCAGACTATGTTCTGGGGAACACAGACTGCTTCCAGAGAGACCTCTGTCCTCTCGGGATCCAGCCCATCCACACCCAGTCCCACTTCCACTGGGTGGGAGCCCAGTGAAGGTATAGCACCCACAGCTGCGTCCAAGCCGTACTCCAGTGTGTGGACCTCCTCCTCCTCCTTGTCCATGCCCACATTCCTGTCGGAGACCACCAGTGCAACCCTACCTGCTTCTTCTGGCTCCAGTCTCTCCCCATCTCCCAACCAGCCTCTCCCAAACCCTTCAATGCATGCCCATTCTACTGTTTCCAAATACAACCTGGGTACCTCTGCGATTTCTCTGAAGGACAAGCAGACCACTCCACCAGGGACTGTGGACGCTCCATTTCCCACCGAGACCATCAGAACCCACTCCAGTGCCCAGGCCAGCTTCCATAAATCTGGGGCTCCCACATCTTCCGTAGCCAGCTTCTCAGTGCTGAAAAGCACCACGTCTCCGTTCGAGTCTGGCACAAGTGATTTTTTGTGGAGTCCCCCTTCCCCTTTGCCTCCTTCACAGTCTCCGTCCTCTACCACAGGCCCCACTCTGAGCTTTACTACCACAGAACGTATTTGGACTCAGCCTCAAAGCTCCATTTCCCAGCATTCCCCACTGGTATCTCCCACAGCATCAGCTGGCAGGAGCCCTCGGATCCCATCAGTCTCTCCCTCTCTACCTCTGGTTACTTCTTCAGGTACTACTAATGGGATATGCCCTCTCAGTCAGACTGTGTCACTGCTGAAGTGTCCTTTTTGCCAGTTTGTGTGACCCCCTAGAGGCCATTCCAGCTATGCTAACCATTGTTACCAGCTCTAAGGACAGTGTTGCCATGTGTTGGGTGTCATGTTCTCATATAGTTCTTTACTCAGAACTGTGTGTCCCAATATGGACCCCTGTTTCCTAAATCCTTCTCTGTGGCAACTCATAGGATATGTCCTCTTTTTGATAGGAAAATGTCATTAATCTTGTTTTCTCTTCCGTTGTGTTTGCCAGCCTATGCACAAGTGAAACATAAGCAAGGCCTTAGTCAAATAATTATAGTAATGGGGTCAATTTTCTAGCCTAATACTAATGTTGGTGATTGCAAATGCTTATTTAATACTTATTCCAGGCCCAGCACCCTTTTCTTGAGATTTTTTTAAATCCTCTTCATACCTTATTTAAAGCAGGCTCTAGGACCAGCCTCAGTAGTGAGACTTTGTCTAGAGAAGACACATTGTAGCATTTTTGTCTGTGCATTGGATGCCACTTGGCAGCTGCTCTCACAGTACTTTTTACATTTTATAAAGACATGTATGGAAAAAAAGACTTCCAGGGCTACTTGCAAAAGCAGCAAGAGCTGGGTTATAGCTCAGTGGCATAAGCACCTGCCTAGCAAGTGGAAAGTTCCGAGTTCAATCCCCAGTACTGCAAAAGCAGCAGGAACAAAGGGATACATGCATTTCAGGCAAGAGGGAGTGTTCTAAAGGGAAACCCACAACAATGGATCTTTTACTTTGCTGTAATAAATTTTTAGAATGAATAAATACAAGAAGGGATTAAAGGAAGGAAGGACAGAAATAAATAAAACAGAAAATGTGACTAGAAAGATAAAATGAAGTAAAGATTATTTTTTATTAATTTTATTGAGAAACAAATAGCAATGAGACAGATTCAAACCAGGTTACTAGGACAGTTTCAAAACACTATTCTTTCTTTCTTTCTTTCTTTCTTTCTTTCTTTCTTTTTTTTTTTTTTTTTTTTTTTTTTTTTTGGTGGAACCAGGGATTGAACTCAGGCCCTTGTGCATGCCAGGGAAGCACTTATTCCACTGAACCATCTCCCTGGCCCACTAGGACAGTTTCAATAATTAATACATTGCATATTGTTGTCTTCATAGTGGTTATTTATAGTACAAGATGCAGACATAATATCTTGTCCAAATGCTATTAGTACAAATCTTTCTTCTCATTGAATTAAGAGCAAGTTACTGTATATCTATCCTAACTACTTTGTATATACAGATACAAAATGGTCCTTCATTTATATGCACTTATTTTGTTTAGTTTTGTCAGAGATGGGTGTTCTATTGCCATTTAAATATTGTAGGTGCGTGAATTCAGCAAAACAATCCAATCTAGTCCAGTAGCCCATAATAGTAGTGGGTTATCCGTAGGACTGGCAATGTCAGAAGCAAAGATTAAAGAAAAGAGACATTAAGAAAGGAGATAAGGAAGATGCATGGAAGAATGTTCAGTATGAAGAAAGGATTAAGGAAGGTAACGATGGAAGGAAAGACACTCAGATGTAGACGTGGATGGAGGGAAAGCTGGACAGCTCTGTGAGTGGATGCACTGATGTCTGGATGGGTATGACCGCTTAGTGGAGGTGGCCCTAGCTCAGGCTGCTACGCATAGGCCTGAGCAGCAGCGGGATGCGAAGCAGCCCATGTAGATAGTGCGCTTCGCTGAATCAGGCAAGTTACTTCAGCTTTCTTCTCACCTTCACATACAGGAATCGAAAGCGTGGTGGAGCGCATCACACGGCTACCCAGCGACGTGGCACACGGTGGCACTATGGGGCCACTCAAGGGTCCCCTGACACCCACAGCACCTGCTAGTCCTACAGGTAGGTTCAATTCTACTCACTTCCTGGTAGCCCCACTTGTGCCCTTATTCTCTGATCTAGAGAGATAAATCCTTACTTCCTTCAGGTAAGATTCCTGTTTTCTGTAGGTGCCTATCGTGAGTTTCTCTGTGCTAGCTCGATCTTTGTGGGTGCGACCACTTTTAGTCACAGCACGTTGCATGAGTTTAGTGCAGTGTCAGAGACATCAACCTAGCGAGCTTGACATAGATGAGTTGAACTCTGAGAATGTTTATGAATAACCATGTGTCAGAGACTGTCCTATTAGCCGAGGGTGCATTTCATCTATGGAGCCCTGAGTTGGACAGTAAAAGCAGGAAAGGAACAAAATAACTATGATATATTGGGCCAGTGTGATAGCTCAGTGGACTAAAGCACCTGCTTAGGCAAGCTTAGACAAGTGCAGGGACCGCAGTTCACTCCCTAGCACCACAAGCCATGCCAGCTCCATCCCCATGGTGGGCTAAATTGGCCAGAATCTGGGCATAGTGGCGTATACCTGTAATCCCAGTGCTGGGGAAGCTGAAAACAGGAGGATCACTATGAGTCCAAACTGCATAGTGAGACCCTATAAAAACCACATACATTAATTTAAAAATCTATGACATAACTTTACAAGTATGTAAGGGAAAGGTATTGAATGACAAAGGAAAGGTATCAATGAGGAGGCAATATGTGGCCTTGGGTTGTAAAGAATAGGAGTTAGCTAGAAAGATGGGAGTTGTTGAAGACTTTCTGCATGGAAAACACAACAGAGTGTTCAGTCACAAAGAGGAATGGAACTGGGGAATACCTGGGAATTACAAAACAATCCACCTTTGCTCAAGCGTGAGCTTTAAGGGGATGAGTGGGAGATGTAGCCAAGGGTGAATGTGAAACAACATTCAGGAAGCCTAAGCTGTCGCAACGCTTGGGGCTTTTTCACCAAAGGTCAAGAAATTCTGTGGTCAAAAAGCTGAGTGAACCTATTGTTTCTCTTGGAGAGTTACAGCATGCACGTGTATATTACAAGTGCCAAGAAGTCCTACAGTATTGAAGCTTGCTTGGTTTTGTCAACCCATGTGTTAATACCATTATCTGACAGCATCTTTTCCTCTGAAAGATGCCTAATAGATTTATTGCTGTATGTGACTGGGTGTACAGAGCCAGGAGTCTGCCTCACCATGAAGCAAAACAGCAATTCTACATAGTCAGAAAGTTCTTCTGGAACTATTTAGAGATCCAACTATTTTACCAACTCATTTCAAAGAGTTTTCTAAGATCTAGGCTTTAGACATAGTCAACTCCAAGTAGGTCTACTGGTTTTATTCTGTGGGCCAGGCAAATTAGGTTGGTTATTCCAAGAAGCAGGCAATGGATCAGCAATGCAGAGATCAGTAATTTATCTTCAGTTGAGGACGGTGGTAGGAGGCATGGATAGAAGACGAAAGAATCTAAGAGAAGGAGCTGTTTTGAGTGAATTATAGTTGTGAGCAACACAGTACTGATCCCTCTGATGACTTCTGAGGAACTGCAGGACAGTCAGCCAGGGGGCACGGGCCGGGCTACACAGCCAACTCCCACTCTGGACTATGTGCTCCTGTGGGTCTGAGCCCTCGGCAGTTCCAGTTTGCTCCAGCACAGACTGAGTGAAAGCTCTTGGTAGGAGCCATAGGCGCTGTTGTGCACCTTTGAGCAGGGACCTAACAGAATCAGCCACATTAGTCACCAGAAAATGTACCCCCAGGCTCCAAGTGATGACTTTTTCAGTTTTATATTTTATTTTATTTTATTTTACTTTATTTTATTTTATTTTATAGAGTGAAAACAAAAGCAAAAACAAATAGCAGAAACAGGGTAACATACAATAACACATATATTACAGATTTCCAAAACAAGAACAGCTAATTTAGGTGGAAATTTTTATGGGTGATTCACAGAAACATACATACACAGCCTTCATTTAATATAGAACAGAGTTCCTCAACTTCTGTGGCACCAACATGTTGGGGCAGGTAATTGTGGCGAGGGGCTGACACATGCACTCCAGGATGTGTAGTGGCATCTCTGCATTCTACTGGCCAGCCCTGCCCACATACACACAGCTGTGACATCCAGAAAGGTCTCTAGACCTTGCTAAGTGTTCTCTGGGGGCAAACCTACCCCTGGTTGAGAATGCTGAAGAAGAAAATGCTGGATAAGACCTGTCACTAAATGAAAATTTTCTATGCTTTCCATACTGGCCCTATGGGCCTATAATTCTGGAGCTTAGATTGATACTCTATCCATCTAAGGGGATAATATCATGCAATCGTTAGGAGTACAGGTTTAGAACTCAGACAGAACTACACTCAGCTTTCCACAGTAGGTAGATGTTTGGCTTGGCAAGTTATGATCTCTGAGTTTGCATCCTTCTGTCCTGTAAAATCACCAGAATAATGGAATGTGTCATTTGTTGCTCTTGTGAGGATTAACCCAACAGTACAAAATGTCTTGGCCATAGTTTTCTCTTCCTCATGTTCTTCCTCCAATTTTTCTCTTCCATCACCCTTCCTTTCTTCCTTCTCTTCCCCTCCACCTCATCCCTCTTCCTTATTTCTCTTCACCATGTGTCCTCCCCCTTGCCTCCTCTCCCTCAACTTCCACATCCCCTTTCCTCACCCCTACTTCCTTTCCTTTTGTCACCTCTTCCTCTTGTCTCTCTTCCTGCTTCCCCTCCCCCTCTTCTTCCCATCTTCTTCCTCTTGCCTCTTCCTTCCCCTTTTCTTCTTCACCTTCCTCCTTTCTGTTCTATTCTTTTTCTCTTCTTCCTCTTCACTACTACCACCATCATCATATGCACAAGTGCATTTAAGAAACATCATCACTCCACTGCCAGAGTGAAATCCTCTCCATGATGCCTCTTTCCATCTGTACTAATCTACAGTAGCCTTTGTACTCTACATAGAGCAGCCTCCCTGCTCCCTAGGAAGCATTTCCTGAAGCCCTCTTTGGTAGCCACCATCTCTGTCAATGCTATTTCTCTCTTCTTTGGAGCTGTGTCCCAGTCACTAGACCACCTCTGGTAATGGAGCCACTGGATGTAGCTAGACTTCCTAGATGAAAAAATGGAAATGTAAATTTGGTAGCCTAAAAAGGTATGCATTTCTGTAAGAAAAAGGAGCATGTTAGTGTAGGACTGTCTTATTCTAGATCACAAGTCCTCAAGAGCATAACACAAGGGGTTGAAGGGAGGGTAGGGGAATGTGGGGGAAAGCTATATCATGTACAGGTACAAATTCTCTATGATAAATATGATCATTGCCTGCATCTAAAATGTACCAATGAAATCAAATTTTAAAAGAATATAAAAAATCAACATTGTCTTATTGTATGATCAGCAGTCACAGGTTAGGAGCCATTACCATCCAGACCATTAGAGGACTCTACAACAGAGGTTCTGACAGTGTGGGAAGGTGCTATGGAGATGGTGGCAGTGAATTGGATCTGATATGGATTTGGGTTTCATATTGGGTCTTCTAGGGACTTGTGAAAGTAGATTTGGAGTTGGGTTTCAGTGAGGGGAGACCTGAAGGGATCTACTGACATAGAGAGTGTCTGGCCGAGAGAAGAGGCTCAAAGGCTGGGTAGTGCAGAGAACACTTAGGAATAAGGAGTGGACTAGTGTGCTCACAAATCTAGAAGTGGTAGCTCAAGATTTGCAGGTAAGGTAAGAATACCAGTCGCAATCCCTCTTCCCACTCCAGGAGCAGCCCAGACACAGCTCAGGTAACAGAGATTTCTTTTCCTTTCTTCACATGTAAAAAAAAATAACCTATGGCCACTCTGAGAAGTATAATCATTTTGTCCAAATTGTGTGCATCCCCACTTTCCAGAACTTTCCATTGGAGGAACTGAAAGATCAGAGACCACTGCCATGCCTCTGAAGACCACCTCCACTGCCGCTGGGACCACTGGGGTCTCCGTTCTCCCCTTAAGAACAGCATCTGTCACAGCATCAGAACAAGCAGCCAGCACAAGCACAGAAGGAACAATCACAACAACCCCAACTATTTCTCCTGCTGTTCCAGAGATGACAACCACGCTGGCCACTCGACTTGGAGAAGACACCAGTGTAACAGTTCCCAGGGAAACACCATCTTCTTTCAGTAGAGAACCAGAGACCACTGCCTCAGAGGCCCACAGTCCTGAGGCAGGGACCAGGCCAGCTACCCAAACTCCAACTGCATTCTCTGACGAGTCACACACCATGGTCTCATTGATGACTCACCCTACAGAAAGGAGGATGCCTGTTTCCAGAACAACCTCCAAATTTCCCCATTCTGAATCACAAACCACACTCTCAGTGGGCACGAGTCCTGGGACAGAAACCGCACTGGCCATTCCAACAACCACTGTCCCTCCTGATACACCAGGAAAGAGAGTCTCACTGACCACTACTTCCAGGACACACACTGGCTCAGTGAAACCAACCCGGACTCCTCCTGGTGGACAAGAGAGCACAGCCTCCTTGGCTACTGATCTTGGAATGGTACAAGGCTCAGCCATTCCAAGTCCAACTGTCTCACCTGGTGTATCACAGATGGTGACATCAACGCATAGGAGTTCTGGGACAGAGGCAAGTACAAGTAGCCAAGTTTTGACTCTTTCTCCAAGTCAGATGGATATCACCATTTTAAAAGAAACCCAATCTGGAACAGAAGTCAGTTCAGCAGTTCCAACGCTGACTGTTTTGTCTGGTGGATCACATACAACAACTTCATGGGCTACGCATTCTGTAGAGACCAGCCCAACAGCTCCTAGGATAACCCCAGATTTTCCCCGTAGTGAATCCAGTGCCACACCATTAACAACCACCAGTCTTGTGGACAAAACCAGTCCGGCTGTCTCTGCTTCCACTGTTTCACCTGATGGGACAAACAGGGTGACCTTGCTGGGCACTACATCAGCAACCAGGACAAGTATTCCAAATCCAACTGGGACACCAGAGGCCACATCCTCATTAGCTACCCATCCTGGACCACAGACTAATTCAGCCATTCCAACTCAAACTGCCTCTTCTCCTGGTGTGCCAGGGACAATGACTTCACTGACCACTAATTCCAGAGAAGAGAGTGGTGTGGCTCCAACCCAGATGGTTTCCCCAGGGCAGCCAGAGACCACAGCACAGTGGATCATCCATCCTGAGACAGAAGCCAGTTCCTCTGTTCCAGGGACTGTGCTAGCGAGTGAACCCTATACAACAGCTTCACACACCTCTCATCCTGCAGAAGCCATCTCAGCTATTCCCAAAACAACCCTGAGTGTTCCCCATAGTGAATCTAACACCTCACCCTTCACCACCACCAGTCCTGAGGAAACATCCAGTTCAGCTGTTTCACATTCAGTCCCCTGGGTGATAATGTCACTGGTCACTAGTTCCACAGCAGTGGCCAGTACAAGTACTCCAACTCTGGCTCTTTCTCCTTCTGGATCAAAGGTTACAGCCACAAGCATCACTCATCCTGGGGCAGTCTCCAGTTCAGCTGTTCCCACTCTGTCTCTTTCTCCTGGGGAGCCAGATGCAACAGCCTCCCTGATCATGCTTCCTACAGAGACAAGCCCGATGAGTCCCAGCACAGTCCCAGATGTTCTCCATACTGAACTCAATAGCACACCTTTAACAGCCACCAGTCCTGAGACAGAAGCCGGTTCAGCTCTCTCGACCTCTGGCTCAGGATTGCTGACTTCACCGCTCACCCGTTCTGGAACAGAGACCAGTACATTTTCCACTCTGACTGCTCTCTCAGGCCAACAAGAGACCACAGGCTCACAGGGAGTCCATCCTGGATTTGAAACCAGTTCTGTTGCTCCAACTTTTCCTGTCTCTCCTGGTGAACCACATACAACTGTCTCCTTGGCCACCCATTCTGCAGAGACCAGCCAACCTGTTTTCATGACAAGCCCAAGTGTTTCCCATAATGCAACGCACCCTACAACCCCAACAACCGTCATTCCTGGGGCAGAACCCAGCCCAGCTGTGTCAACCACCATGATCTCCCCTGGTGCTCCAGACATGGTGGCTTCACAGGTCCCTACTTCTGGAATAGCCACCAAGACGACCGAACCATCTCTGATTCCTTCTCCTTCCCAACCTGAGGTCACGCCCGCCTTGGGCACATCTGCTGGGACCCAGACAAGTTCATCCATTCCAACTCTGGCTGTCTCCCCCAGCATATCAGAGATGACCTCACTGGTCACCAGCTTTGAGACAGAACCAAGTACAACTACTTCAGTTCTAACTGTTTCCCCAGAGCAACTGGATATCACATCCCCATGGGTGACCCGTCCTGGCTCAGTCACCAGTTCAGCTATTCCATCTCTCTCTGTTTCCCCCAGTGAGCTGGATACAGCAGCCTCATGGGTGACTCATCCTGCAGTGACCAGCTTACCAGTTTCCAGGACAACCCCCTATTTTCCACACGGTGTATCAGGCAGCACACCCTCAGCAATGACCAGTCCCAGGTCAGAAGCCAGCTCAGCTGCTCCACCTCCCACCATTTCCCCTGAGGTACCAGGAGAGGTGAGCTCATCGCCCACCAGCTCTAGGACAGTGATCAGTGCAAGTACTGCCTCCCAAGCTCATTCTTCTAGTAAACCAGAGACCACAGCATTATTGGCCACCCATCCTGGGCCAAGTTCAGCCCTTCCGACTCTGGCTGTCTCCCCTGGTGTGCCAGGGATAGTGACACCATTCACCACTAGTTCTGGGACGGAGGCGAGCACAGTTTATCCCAAGCAGACTGGTTACTCACAAGCACCAAAGACTACAGCCTCGTGGGTCACCTATTCGGGGTCAGAAGCCAGCCCGGCCATTCCAACTCTGACTACTGTGCCTGGGGAGCCAAACACGACTACTTCCCTGGTCACTCATTCGGCAGACACTTGGACACCTGTCTCCAGAACAGCCCCAGGGCTTCCCAAGAGTGAATCAGACTTCACACCTTCGATGGCTACCAGCCCTGGGGCCAAAGCCAGCCTAACTGTTCCAACTACCATAGTTTCATCTCGTATACCCGTGGCAGTGACCTCAGAGGTTACCAATTCTGGGACAGACACAAGCACGGCTACTTCAGCTCTGACTCCTTCTCTAGTTGAAACAGAGACCACAGTTTCAGTATTCTCCTCTCCTGAGGCAGAGACCACTCCTGCTGTTCCGACCCCCTCTGTTCTTCCTGGTGAGCCAGCTGCAACCTCATCGGTCCCTCACCCTTCACAAACCAGCATGCCTGCTTCCAGAACTAGCCCTGATTTTTCCCATAGTGAATCACATACCACGCCCTCCATCGCCAGCAGTCCTAGGGCTGAGGCCAGTTCACCAGCGCCAATAACAATTTGGAAACCAGAGGTGGTAACCTCCCAGGTCACTCCGGGGCCACCAACCGGGACCACTATTCCAACTGTGAGTGTTTTTCCCAGTGAGCCAGAAACCACAGCCTTATTGATCACCCACCCCAGTGCAGAGACAACCACAAAGTTTCCTGTTTCAACTGTTGTTCTTCCTTTCTTGGAGACAGCCTCAGCATCTGTCAGACCTGAGGTAGAGATGAGCACAGCTCTTCCAACTCAGACTGCTTCCCTCAGTGGACAGGGGACAGCAACTTCTCTCCCACCGTCTCTTGTGACAGAGATGGGTAGAGCTGATGTAGGTCCAACAGTTTCGCGTGCTGTTCCCTTGGAAACAGCCTCACCATCTACACCTCCCAGGGCAGAGACCAGCACAGCTATGCCAACTGCAGCCCTTTCCCCTGGCCTCTCAGAGACCTCAAGCACATGGGTCAACAGCCCTGCAGCAGAGGCCAGCACAAGCATTCCGACTCCTCCCCTCAGTGTCCCTTGGCTTTCCAGTGCTGCTAAAACCACAGGCGAGCCAAAGACCGTAACTTCCTGGAACAGAGAATCTTCATCACTTGCAACTTCAGTCGGACTCCCAGATTTTTCCCAAACTGCTGTAGGCCCCACTGTGACCTCAGTAACACCGCAGACCCCAACACTACCTACAACCAGTCACAGAGAAGGATTGAGTCCAACTGCTACCTTGAGAACCACAACTGTGGAGACCACTCATTTAGCTGCCACAGGTTCAAGTCCCACCACAGCCGAGATCACAGCCTCCACCCTCAGTGCTACAACAGCTGGAAGTCCCTTTGCCTCAGAGAGCCCATCTGGAATGTACACCTCAACTTCAGAGACACTGACTTCAGCAACAAGTAAGAATATCTTTTTTTTTTTTTTGTCATATAGCAATGGTAAAATATATATGCCTGCATGTTGAAAAATATGCTTTTTAAATATTTTAGGTGTACAATTTAGCTATACTAATTGCATTCATGCTGTTATGCCAACACCACCACTAAGAACATTTTCCCTTCCTAAGGGGTAGGGGACTCATTAAGCAATAATTCCCCCTCCCCAGCCCAAGTCCATAGCAACCTACTACCGTGTTTATGATTTTGACCCTCTAGGCACCTCATATAATTGGAATTGTACCCCATTTGCTCTTTGGTACCTGGCTAGCTTCACACAGTATGAGTTGAAGGATCATTCATGTTGTGTTATGTGTCCAAAATCCATTCCTTTCATGGATAGATATAATCCTGTTATAAGAGTGTAGAACAGTTTATCCACCCAACTCATCTGCTGATGGACCCTTGGGCTGTTTTCAACTACTAGGAATAATGTGGCAAAGATTATTGATGTACAAGTATCCATTCAAGTTCCTGATTTCAATTCCTTTGAGCATATTGTTAGAAAAGGAATTACTTACTGGGTTGTGTGGTATACCGTATCATTTCCCTGGGGTCCGTAATAAAAATACCACAAACCGATGATTTAAGCTGTAGAAATTTGTTGTCTTGTGGTTTTTTTTAGACTAGAAAGAAGCACTGAGAAAACGCACAGAACACACACTTTGGACTTATCCAGTCCAGGGAGTGAAAATTTTTATTAGTCACTGTGACAACGGTGATCCCCGGGTCCAGTCGTCCCCCCTCAACACAGAGGTGCACATGCTGGTGTGTCCCAAAATACTAACAGCCAATGGGATGTGGAATGAGGGTGACCTCCTCATGCCAGTGTCACCATCACTGCCTCAATTGTATCCATGCCTTTATTTATTTTTAGTAATTTTTTAATTGCACACATTTATGAGTGTAGTGTGAAGGCTCCCTAGATGGTGCAGTGTGTCACTCATGATGAACTCGTGACAGGTGGCATCGTGATCTCCTTAAACATTTGTGAACATGTTGTTTTAAAACATGATAACTGTACATTGCAGGGGAACAGTGTGTGACACTTCAACACGTGTACACCACACATAGTAATCAATTCGAGGAGGGCCAGCAAGGTAGCTCAGTGGACTATGGACCTGCTTAGGCAAGCGCAGGGCCTGGGGTTCCATCCCCCAGTACCACATGTCACACCAACCCTGCCCCCTGGTGCACCACCTAGAATGGGCATGGTAGCACACACTTGTAATCCCAGCACTAGGGAGATGAGACAGAAGGATCACTATGAATCTGAGCTGTGTAGTAAGACCCTGTAGCAAATACGTAAAATAAAAGAACGTAACTAATCAAGTCGAGAGAATCAATGTTCTCATCTCCTTTCCTACTGCATGTGTGAAGTCCTCAAGCTCCTCTCAGGCACTCATAAAATATGAAGTAAGTTATGTGAACTATAGTCCTCCTCCCTTGCTGTAGAACACTGAAACATTCCTTCTGTGTACCTCTGCTTGGGTACTTGTTATCCATGTGTCTTCTATCCCCGTTCCCTCATTCCTCTCAACTTCTAATAACCACTCTTGCACGTTCAGATCAACACTTTCTAAAATCCACCTATGAGAGAGAGAGCACCAGACATTTGTTTTTCTGTGTCTCAATTATCAAACTTACCATAATGGCCTTCACTTTTATACGCTTTGTTGCAAAGGATGAGCTATCTCTATGGCTCAATACCATCCCGCTGCTTCTATGTGCCTCGTTTTCTTCGCCCACTCAACCCACGGATGGGCATCTAGGTGGATTCCATGGCTTAGCACTTGTGACTATGCTGCAGTGAAAGTGGCTGTGCGGCCTATTCCTTCAGACTATCCCTAGAAGTGGGAGTGTTCTAACTTTCACAGCAGGGAGTCTGCCTCCCAGGAGCGCAAGTGTCCAAGCCGACTGGGATAGTCCTGACGCACCCTGCATAGGCACATGGTGATGGCCACTTGAGGCTCGTTCAGCAGCACAGCCCTGCTGGGCACCACAGTTAAAATGGTCCTCGGAGTCTTTCCTCTCATCTCCAGCCTGGGGGCGACTCAGGACTGATCTCTTCTTGTCCTCCTACTGCAGCTGAGGTCCCATTGCTGAAGATTTTTACCGTCAACTTCACCATCACCAATCTGACCTACCAGAAGGATATGGGGAACCCAGGCTCTGGGTTATTCAACAGCACTGACGGGACCCTGCAGCAGTTGGTAAGAGCTCCCTACCAATTTCCATCTCATGTTAGCTTTGCTGTCTTAGTCACTCCTGTTGCTGAGACACAATGCCTGACCTCCACCACCTGAAGGAGAAGAGATTATTTTGGCTACGGTTCAAGGTCAACCTGGCTCCCAGGGCAGACATGAGACATAGCACAGAGACATAGCACAGAGACATAGCAAAGGAGAGCTACTCATATCACAGTGGTAAGCAAGCTGAGAGAAGAAAGAAGCTGGGAAGGGAGATATACCCTGTCAGGTCAGGGCCCCCAGAGACCACCTCCAGCCAGGCCCTACCTCCGAACTGCTCACTGTGCACATCCAATATGGTGCTGTGACCCAGTCACCTTTCAAAAGCCCAATATCAGCATGTGTGAGTTTGGGGGATTCTTTCTAGGTCTAAGCCATGACACCTGCCTACCTGCTGTCTTGGTCCCTCCTATCCATGTCTCTCCTTCCTTCCTCCCCAGCTCCATGCCGTGTTCAAGAACAGCAGCATTGGTCCCCTTTACACTGGCTGCAGGCTGACAATGCTCAGGTGAGACTCCCTTCTGTCCCTTCTGCCTCTCCATCCCCCAGGTAGCCCCAGTTCCTTGGACTTTTTTTGACAGGTGACGTAGAATAGTGGACTCACAGTGTCTGGGCTTGAACACCTGCTGCAACATTTGCTAGCTCTGCAACCTTGAGCAAGATACATGACTTCCCTGTCCCTCAAACACATCATCCATACAGTGTTATTAAGAACAACAGTCCTTTCCTCCTGGGGTCAGTCACCAGCACAGCGCATGGCCCATTGTGAACACTGACTGGATTTGATCTCAGAGCAGCAACTGGTGTCCAACCTTTGCCAGTGCCATTCCCAGAATCCCTGATATCCTCCCTGGCCCAGCCCATTCCTTGCTAGGAATGAACTGTGGTCACCACAGCATTCCAGTTCATCCTGTAAGAAGAGCTGAGGAGCTGCCCAAAGGAAGTCTTACTGACCCCAAGGAAAAATAAACTGAACGTTATGCATCAGCAGGATATTTTGCAATTTAAAGAAATCTTGAGTGGACCTGAACATTCAACAGAAATGGCCCATCTTCTCTTCTTTGCCCAGTTCCCCTGATGTCCTGTAAGATCACTGTGCGTCCTGAGTGTCCAGTGCTTGTAGTTCATCACCTTGTGGCCTCTCTGGGAGTCCTCCATCCAGCCAACTCAGATGCTAGCAAGGCAGGCTCATTGCTCAGATCCCTCTATAGAGAGAGTCTCCTGGAGTTTCACAAATCACAACTGCCATTAGCTGAACACCCATCCCGCTTGTCCTCATCTTTCCATAGGATGAAGAATCCATTGTAGTTAATATTCCTCTTTCCACCTGCCACCCAACAACTTCAGTCTTATTATGGTTAACTGATACGTGTTTGTGTGTATCATATTTTTCCCATTCATTTATGGATGGACATTTAGACTAATTCCATACCTTGGCTACTATGAGTAGCACTGCAAGGTGTCATCTCGCCCTCCCTCATTACAAAAGCTATTATTAAACACACACAAAAATACATACTTTAAGGGAACTTACTCACACACTGTTGGTGCGAATGTAAGTTACTACTGGTATTGTATAAAACTGTCACTATGCCCTTAAAAACTAAAAATGGAACTACCCTATGTCCAGCAAAGCCTCTATTATTTTCTCTGTTTTTCTCCAAATGTAGCTGTTTGCCCAAAATGTTGTCTTGAAGGGTTGAATTCAGGCTTGAGATTCACCATCTTGAAAAAAAAAAGTCACCGTTTCAGGGTCCACAGGGCCACAGTCACGGGGATAGCCATTTACATCCTGTGTGGTCCTCCCTGGAGTTCTGAATCTCCTTCTCTGTGACTCAAGCAAGACTTGATTCTTGCTAGAGTGGACACCAACTGTACCTAATTTCATGCATGAAATTGTAGGGTGCTTATCATTGAACACTCAGTTTGAATGAATTAATAGAAAAAAGAATCAGTAGTTATTTAGGAGGCTAAGGCAGGAGGGTCAACAGTTGGAGACCAGCTTGGATTATAACAAGCAGAAACACCAGGGCAACACCCATATTTTGGAGGCAGATTCATTTACACCAACAGGCACTAATAGGGGTCACTCCCAAAATATCAGTCCCTGGTCTCTTGTGGTCGAGGGCTTGTATAGGACAAGGAAGCAGAGTGGCTTGTCAACTGGGGATTGGTTTATACATTGTGCATCATTGTGACTAGCCATTTCTAAGAGACAGCGGCAACTGAAACAGGAACAGGAACTTAGTTGCCTGTGTTATCCTGGCAACTAAGAAACTGAAGCATACGGGCTGGAGGGGCCATTTTCTGTTACAGGAAAACTTTATAAGACCCTATTTCAAAATAAGAAAAGGGTTACTATTGTAGCTCAGTGGGGTGAAGGTGGGGCTTCTGCAATCTACTGCATTCAAGCCCAACAACATAAAGGGAATAAAAGGAAGAAGGCAGGAAAAGAACAGCGAGTCTAAGAAGCAGACTAGCTAAATAGTAGCCCAGGAGAAAGCTCCACTGAAGTATATGGGAGATCTGGATCCCTAATTGAAGCAGAAAAAGATACATTCAAGACAACAGAGGCAACCTAGGAAAAGTGCTAGGGTAAATCCCAAGGAGTGTCTGTTTGGTGTCTCCTGAGGGTACCCCAGTCTCCACATCTCTACTTAGCCCTCTTCCCATGTCCTTCCCACCCCAGGGCTGAAAAGCATGAGACAAGCACCAGAATAGATGGCGTCTGCACCTACCACTCAGATCCTACAGGCCCTCGGCTGGACAGAGAGCAGCTGTACTGGGAGCTGAGCCAGCTGACCCATGGCATCACCCAGCTGGGCAGCTACAGCCTGGACCGGGACAGCCTCTATGTCAATGGTGAATAGCAAGGGCCCCCAGCTTCTACCCTGCCATTTCTCCACACCTGAGTCCTCAGTCACTGGCCAAGCTTGAGTTTCCACAAGGGGCTCAACTCTCTCAGCACACCCAGAAAAGGTCCTCTTCAGTGGGAGTGAAGCTTTCCTCCCCTGCCTTTTCATTCCTGAGACATTCCCAGCGATCCGGTGGCGTAGCACAGTGTGTGGATCCAGGGAAGGAGAGGGATAGAGGAAAACCGTGGCTGCTGCTCCCACTCACTCTGCCCCACCAGTTAAAGGCCCCTAACTTCAGTGACTCACACCTTTCTCTTCCTCGTGGCAACCTGTGGCCCTTTATTCCTTCTCCAAGAACCGCCTGGAAGCACACCTTTCCCGAAAAACTAACAACACTCACAGTAATGTTTTCAGCAACAAAGTCCTTTGTGACCATCCTCTTGGCAACAGTGCCAACAATAATACCAATAACATAAGCTAATATTTATTGAGGGATTCCTACGATCCAGAACTTCGTACATGTTATGTCACACTTGCCTTACCCAAAACTCTGTGGGACAGTATACGTTTTCTATGTTATGACTCTATGGAAAAAAAAATAAACAATAGATTCAAAGCAGGGCTGAGAGCTGGGAATCTATTCTTGTAATTAGGCTGCTCATAAGGGACAGAATGGGAACTCGAGCACCCAACTGGCTCTCAAATGTAAGTGCTCTAACTTCTATTCTGTGCTATTGACAAACACGAGAGAAAGCTTGTAACCTCAGGATGAGACAGAATACCAAGCAGCCACTATGACAGCAATTTAAACTGATGAATTAATTGTTAACTGCGGCCACCCCTCCATTCTGTAAAATGCTGGAACTTACCTCTCCTGTCCAAGCGTGCTTTGATAACCTTCTCCCAGCCTTTCTCTGTCTCTTTCCCTTTTACCTTCACTAGCCCCTGGTAATCCTCTTCCACTCTTTCCTTCCTTTGATCAACTATTTTCTCAATCACGTAGGAGCGAGAACATGCAATATTGGTTTCTCTATGTCTCGTCTGTTTCACATGATACAACATCTTCAGAAAAGTGCAAATCAGGAACTGGGCTTGGTGACGCAGGCACCTGTAAACCCAGTACTCAGGAGGTTGAGACAGAAGGATTGTTTGAGATCAGTATCAGGGGCTACAAAACTAGGACAAGGCCAGCCAAGCCACATAATGAGACCTTGTCTCAAAAAATGTGCAAATTAGAACCATTTACCTTATTTAAAATAGCTATTATTAAAACAAAATAAATCAAGCTTGGTACAGATGCAGTGAAAGGGGAGGTCCTATACACACTTAGAGGGAAATCAAAGTATAACCAATGTGAAAGGCATTATGGTGATTTCCTGAAAAACCCAACAGAAGCTGGTCATGGCTGTGCCTGCCTGTGATCCCAGCCACTGGCGAGGCTGAGGTAGGAGAGTCACATGTTTGATCTCAGTTTGCATAACTTAGTGAGATCCTGTTGCAGAATTTAAAAATGAAGAGGGCTGGGTGAAGCATCCTTGACTTCAATACCCAGTACAAAGTACCGTCTGGCCTCACCCCCTCCCTAATCTTCTGTCCTGCTTTCTCCCCGTCCTTCCACAGGCTATCACCATCGGTACTGGATCCCCACCAAGAACAGTGAGTAACAATGGCCCCAAAGTCTGCATTCGTTCAGCACCTTTGGTCCCTGAGCCCAGGAAGCATTCCCTATCCCACAGATTCCCAGCCCCAGAGAAGCCTCAGGCCACTGAAAAGCCTCAGGCTGATCCCAGTTTCCACTAACATTCTATCACCCCGTTGCTTTGTTAGTGCCCAGCAATATTTATATCCATGTTGTGTTTTCTTTCAGCTCCAGTGGCCTCCACATTTTCCCCAGGGCCCTCCACACCCACGACCCCCACTCCCAGATCTACAGGTAAGACTCTGACCTCCAGATCCTGTGAACCTTCAACTCCTGTTCGGAGGCTGACGGGGTCTCGCACGTTCTGGACCTTACATCCACGCAGCCTCAGCTGCCCACTCTTGCCCTTGCTCACTCCTCCCAGCCACACCAGTCTTGTTTCTGCTCCTTGGTGACCCAGCCATCCTTCCATCCTCACAGCCACAGCATTTGCCATTCTTGCATTTCAGCAGCTTCTGGCTCTTCCTGATCCTGCAAAGCTCAGCTCAGCAAAACTTTGCTCAGACCACGTTCCATAAAGTAGCATTTCCCCCATGTGCACACAAGCGAATCTCTATTCAGTCTCTGTTCATTTCCTTCAGGGTAGCTGTTACCATTCAGACTTCTTCACTGCTCAGGTATTTGGTGCCCAAACCCTGAGAAATAAAGATTTGGGTTTCTCCTCTTTGTTTTTACTTTTCTGCTGCTAGAAGTCCAAGCCAGAACCTTGTATGTGCTGGCTAAGCATGCTACCATCGGCCCGTTGGCTTCTCCTCTTAGCAAAGGATATCAACACCAATCTTCACCATTCTGGGCTGAGGTACTGAGGTTTGGCTTTTGAGATAAAGTTCCACATCTGCTGTGGATGTCTGTCCCCTTCCTATGGCTGGCTGAAGGGTAGTCCAAATGGGACTAGTCCTCACTTACTAGGCACTGTGACCACGATTACAGACTTGGTCTCAGTCCCACCTCTCGCCCAGGACTAAAACTGATGGGTTCCGTCAAGTGATGGATTTTTTCTCATTCTACCTGCCCTCTCCTCTAGCTGCAGGAGTCAGCCCAGGCCCGGTGCTTTTCACACTCAACTTCACAATCACCAACCTGCATTACACCCCCAACATGGAGCACCCAGGCTCCTTGAACTTCATCTTCACGGAGAAGGTCTTGAACCGACTGGTAAGGACCCACCAGAACCTGCTCTGGCCTACTTTTCCTTGATCTACCTGGTCCCTGGAACTCACCCCACTCATCTCCTGCCTTCTGCCCAGCTCGAGCCCTTGTTCAAGAACACCAGCATCAGCAGTGGCTACTCCGGCTGCAGACTGACCTTGCTCAGGTGAGGCTTCCTTCTCTTACGTTGTGAAGGACTGCGCAGTCACAGGGAGGTTCACCTGAATGAAAGCCTATGTGTGGCATCTAAGGGGCATGATGGGCTGGCAAGATAGCTCAGAGCCTCCTTAGGCAAGCTCAGGCAAATGCAGGAGCCATGGTTCGATCTCCAGCACCACATGCTGCGCCAGCAGGCAGGTTAAGCTGGCAAGAGTCCAGGCATAGTGATGCATACCTACAATACCAGCTCTGGGGAGGCTGAAAACAGGAGGATTACTATAAATCCTAGCTATGTAGTGAGACCCTGTAACAACCAAATACATTTCAAAAAATGAAAATAAAGGGCATGAATCATAAATGACTAGGACTTTCCAGAAATTCAGACACAGAAGGCATTAACCAAGCCTGTGGATACCAGAGAGGACTTCCTGGGAAAGGTCACCATCTTAGTTACTTTTCTCTTCTTGCTGGGACAAAATACCCAACATCCAAAATTAAGGAAAGAAAGGTTTATTTAGCCAACAGTATGTGGAGGCTTCAGTCTGCACTAGGCTGGCTCCACAGCAGAGCGGCACATGACAGAGGACAGCAGTTCATGGTGGCAGAAAGCAGCAAAACAGCAAGAACAAAAAGGCAGGAGTAGTGGCAGCAGTGGCAACAGAGAGCAAGTCTGTCTCCCTCATGTTGTAGTCAGGCTATCTGCCCCAGGCTAGGTATAGCCCTCACACCCATAATCCCACCACTAGATAATGAATTAATCACAAACTAGGAGTCCCCCACCCCTCATAACTGCATGAGGTTTTGGGGGAACAACTAGACAGCTACCAGTGATCTTTATTTGATGAGTACAAGTGGGAAGCATTGAGGCTCACTGATCAAAAGGGCGGTATTAACTCAGTAAGAAACCATGGAATGATGCACCTCAGGCAGCCTGCTGTATGGGTGTGAAGGACACCAAGAGACTTGACCTTGGGCCATCCTCCCAGTAGTGCCTCCATGTTTACAGGGCAGCGGGGGCAGTGTGAACATTAGACTCTACGGGGGGTGGATTTTAGCTCACCCTGAAGAAGCTGAGTGGTGAATCTCTTCAGAAGATGATGGCTGAGCCAAGTCCTGATAGCTGAGTACCCACTGGCCTCAGGGAAGATGGGTGGAGATTTCAAGGGGTGACCTGTGAGAAATGGCCCAGTACAGAAGAGAAGTTATGGGAAATTGGATAGTGGAGTGGAGAAAATGGTGATTAAGGAATGAATGAATGAATGAATCACAAAGAGATAGAAGAAGGGAGGAAGGGAGGAAGGAAGGATAGATGGAAGAGAGGGAGGAGGAGGATGGCACAGAGAAGGAGTGAGAGGAGAGATGGGGAGGGAGGGAGGAAAGGAAGGAGGGAGGGAAGGAAGGAAGGAAGGAAGGAAGGAAGGAAGGAAGGAAGGAAGGAAGGAAGGAAAGAGAGATAAGGGGAGTTCATAAGAGTGAATGATAGGAGGAAGAAGGGAAGGAAATCGGTTGAGTGCAGGGCTGGCTGAGAGGATGGCTCAGATCATCATTCCAAGAGCAGGGGCCAAATCGTAACATAAGCAAATATCATGAACAGTTCAAGATGCAGTTGAGGTTGAAGGAGTTGTCACAATATTTCATGCAGCAGGCAGATTAAGCGTGAGGGCTCTTCAGTGTCCAAATAAATGAGCCACATTCTGATTCTGTCACCTGCCGTATGATATTTAATGTCCACATGGCTTAGTTTTCTCAGTTGTAAAATAGGAGTGACTGTTGTTAATAATACCGCTTTGTGTGCTTGAAATTCAGTTTGTGAGTAGATGTCATGTTCTCAACACACACACACACACACACTCAAGCACTCACATACACACACCATAGACAAAGCTGTGTGAGTGATGGATATATTAATAGCATGACTTCAAATAATCACTTTATTGTTTAAAAATTATTTATTCTTATTAGCATATGTTTACCATATGTAGTGATCACATTCGTCCTGAGGAATCTGTACCTATATTAATATATCTCGATTATTTTTTCTAACCCTCCCCTTCAACCCTTTTTTCTCTCCCCATTACAAAGGCTGTTTCCATTTTTTCTTCAATTCTTTAAATAATCATTTTAGGGTGCAGATAGATAGGTAGATAGATAGATATCAATTCATATTTCAATAAAAATATAAAATAGGAATCATATTAGCATGTGGCTCAGAGCTGTTAAGAAGATAAAATGAGATGACAAATATAAAATGTTGAACACCTGGTAGATGTTCATAAGCAGTAACATCCATGAGTAAATGTCTCATAAGTACTAACATCTAGTAAGTAGTTCATAGATACTAGTCAGAATTATTCAGATTGTGGGGAACCATGGTGCTGTTGGAAGGGCAGCTCTAAAATGATGAGATTTACATTAAGTAGAGCATTCATACATGTGAGCAGGGATGGCTAAAGGGATGGTGCACAGGGTTGGACAGACCCCTGGAAGAGAAAGTGAGGGAGGTCCAGGAGTCTCAACCTCTGGTTCTCACCCTGACATGGAATCACAGGGAGAGGAGAAGCTTTGGGAATAGGGGTGGCAGTAAGCTTCACTTGGGATACATGTAATCCAGAGGTCTCAAAGACCTCCTTGAGGTGGTTGGTCAAATACGACAAGCTCAGGAGAGATGTGACATCCAGAGTGACATTGGGTCTCATGACAATAGAGCTGACACTTAACACAATGAAAATGAATGAAGTGACCCCAGAAGAATGGGTAACAAGGGCAGAGAAGTTGATTCAGGTTGAGCTTCTGGGGTCAACCTTGTCACAAAGTGCAACAGTCCTGGATAAAGAGGGCCCAGAAAGGAACATGGTGGAGAACCAGACAAAACCCAAAATATGAGATAGAATAAAACCAAGGAGGACAAAACATGAAAGAGAGAATGCATACTTCTCTCATCTCTCTCTCTCTCTGGGTGTCCCCCTTCCTATGTACCTGTCATTCTAGAAACGAGAAGAATGGGACAACCACTGGAGTGGATGCAGTCTGCACCTACAAACCTCGTCCCATGGGCCCGGCTCTAGAGAGAGAGAACTTGTACCAGGAGCTGAGCCAGCTGACCCATGGTGTCACCCAACTGGGGTCCTATGCCCTAGACACAGACAGCCTCTATGTCAATGGTGAGTGGCCATGCTATACCTGGGTCTCCTGCAGGCTTAGATCTCTCCATGCCAATAGTTCTTAACTGGGAATGATTTTGCATCCCAGGGGACATTTGGCAATGTCTGGAGATGTTTTCACACCATGACCAGAGTGGTGCAGGTGACGTCTATTTGGTAGAGGCCCGGGATGCTATTAAACATCACACAGAGTGCAAACCAGCCCTAAAGAATTAGTTAGTTCAAAATGTCAGCGGTGGCAAAGTTGAAAAATTTCTGCCTACAAACTTGTAATTATGGTACAAACCCAGATCTGTCTCTCTCTTTCTCTCTTTTTTTAATGTTTCACACCCCAGAGGAACATGTCTTTTTGTCTTTTGACTCTTGGGATGAAGTGTTTCATACTTATACTTATTCCCTTCTGCTTCCTCAAAGAGCCTGTATGAAATATACAGATGTAGGAGGAAACTGAATGATGGAGGGTCCTGATGTAATGTCCCCCAGTGTGCTGTGGATGCCCAGTGAAGCCTTCCCTTCACCGTTTTCTCATTATGACAGCTCCCTGGGCCACCTGGAACTACAGTGACTTTGTGAAACATTGGTCCCACTAATAAATACACCTCGAATAGTAACTATTGACATCAGCAGCAGCACAGATGTGACCCTCATGGCAAAACTGACACAGAGAATAGCAACCAATAATGGAGCTCATATTTACTGAAAGTTTCCTATGTTCCAGGAATTGTAATACCAACTTTATCTGTATGGTCTTGTGTTATCTTATCCAGCTCTCCGTGGGTTCGTATATTTGTTTTTACCTACAACTACTATGCATTCAGAGTGTGTCTCCTCTGTAGCCCAGAAGTGCTGGAGCAGTGAATTAAACTCCCCAGAGACCGAAGACAATAGCTGGAGATCGTTGCGACTGTTTGGGTTCTCCTCAGGGACGAAGGGTTGTGGGAAGGAGGAAAAGACAGACAAGAGACAATAGCTGGGTCAGGGTGAGCTCCTCTGGTTCTTGAGCAGGGGAGAGGAACTGTCCAGGAACAGTAGTGCATTTTTTCATACCCTACAGAGGTTGATATTAATTCCAACCTCTCTACCCAGCAATCAGTTAAGAAGTTGCCACAGCTTGTTCACATGCTTCGAGGAGCTCCCATGATATTGGGCTGGCTTTATCCTGCTTGGACTATCCAGTGGCCACGGGCTAGACTGTTAATCACCACAAAACCTAATTATAGTGCACTGGACAGGGAATCACCAGAGTTTGGTAGTGCAGAAGGGGCATTTACAGAGTAAACTACACAACAGTGACACCGTGACACTGCTTTGTAACACTGTATACCCAGCACTGCAACGAGCAGATGGTTTAGCGTGCAGGCAGGAAGGCAGTTTCTACTGATAACACCAGCTTGCACAGTTTCCAGTATCCCTTAACTGTAATCTGGATATCCTAGTTCTTGTCAATTTACAATGTCCCTTTGACTTGGCAAGACTTTGGGGAATACAAAGAGGGTATTTCCATGACGTGGTGCCATACTCCTTGGTTTTTCTTAGGGACCGTAACAGGGAGAAAGTCATTGGCCATGGATCATCCTAGTAGAAAACATGGCAGAATAAAGACAGAAAACAGAGCAAGCCACACCTACCATGACACTCAAGAGCAATGGTGGCTTCCACCGACCTAACCCAATTTGCATGAGCCTTTATTTTTCTTCTCTATCTATCTGGATCTTTCTTTTCTACCTAGATTGAAGTATATATTTTATTGTATTATCATAGTACATACTCTTCTGTGTTCATAAAAGATTTACTCCAAAATGGAAGGTAATTTAGAGCAGGAGTTAACAGTGTGGGTCTTGTTAAGTAACAGATTTGTTTTGTGTGATACACAGTCATGCTGGGCTACTTGTCTAGGTTTTAGTGGTGCAGTTCCAGAATGTTATGAAACACCCCTGGGATTGTTCTGTTAATCAAAGGAGATAATTCGGCAGTGATCGTAGTAAGTTACAGGGCTCCTCCAGGTCAAGTATGTACTTTTATCCTCCTAGAAGATCAGAAGAAATGCTGTCAATAACCTGGACAAAGCTCATGAAAAACTCTATTTCCTCCCAAGCCATCGAGGCTCCCATGTTCCCTACATCTACCTAAGCCCTAAAGCCCTCTCCACTCACGTTATCCCATCCCTTTACTCAACATTTCTGTAATATCCCAAACCTCCCACTGTTCTTTCCCTCCATCACTCTCAGCTTCTCACTCCCTATCCAGCTCCCTCAGCCTGTCACCATTTTGTCAATTCTGCATCACAAAAAAAAAGAAACCTGAAACTAAACTAAAAAAACATACAATCATAATGTTTTGTGAGAAAAAGTAACCGAAATAATGAAGACAGAATTAAATCATCTCTCCAGGTCAAGAGAACATAGATAAGTTGAGCACACACGTTCATTCAAGGGTGAGTATGTTGTACCCTTGTAGTGTCAGAAGGATTCCTGCTGGTTGATAGGGATAGCGCATCCCTCTCGGTGAGGGCAGGAACCAGTCACTGCATTTTGTCAGTAAAAAAAAAAAATGGTGGTGATGTTTTCTGTTATTATAAAAAGATGAAGCACGCAATACAGCCCAAGTAAAATGGAGCCATGGTGTTTATCCGTGAGTCTCCTAAAGCTTGTTGATGACTTCCGCTCTGGAGCTACCATCTTCCCCTCCCTTAGCTCTTTACCTAGCATAACATATCTTCCTTGATCTTTCCTCCTTACCTGCAGGTTACAACCGTCGGCACTTGACCCCCACCACCAACAGTGAGTATTAAAACGTGGGCTGCCCCAGTGTCCCCAGGAACCCTGAGATGTTCATGGTGTCTCCTCACCTCAGAGCACCTCCGCAATACAGTTGGAGTTAAGATAGAACCCAAATTCCAGTTAATGGCTTTTGCCTTGCATTCTGGGGTGGGACCAAGTTGTTCTGCTCATGTTTTTTTCCTCAGCTCCAGTGTCCACCACATTCTCTCCGGGACTTCCAACATCCTCCATCCCCAGCTCTACAGGTAGAAATCTCCTCCAGGGGGGTAAGAAACACCAATGCTGAATGACCTGGTCCCCACTCACCCCCTGGTCTGAGCCTGTTGCTCTTTCCTTGGCCGTCTTAGCTGTGGCCACCCCAGATACTTGATTTGCCTTCTAGCACCCTGACCTCTGTCCAGCCTCAGTACCCTTGCACTTGTTGTTTTTGAAAACCAGCTATCCTTGGCACTTTCTTATTTTCCAAACCTAAGCTTAAAGAGCATCACTTTCCCTGGATCACCTATGAAAAATTACTTTACCTACATTCACACCTGGACCTTGGGTTTTGTCTGTCATATCATGTTGATAACTATCCTTTATGGAATTTATTTCTATTTGTTTTTTTTTAATTTCCATGTATCTGCAGAAAACCAAAAATGCAATAGCAGTTGCCAGTGAGGAGGGAGAGGGAAAAATAGGGCATACTGTTTAAGGGGCTTAAGTTTCAGTTTTTTCAAGGTGAATATGCTCTGGATGTTTCTTTCATAAGGGAATATATTCGACACTATAAGACTGAATACTTACAAATAATTAAGATGTAAGTTTCATAGTATGTACATTTTGCCACAATTTAGAACATTACAAACATATATGTATATTCAACATCTTTTATGACTATTGTGTAATGCTAAAAGTGAAGGAAATTCTGACCCATGATATCCAAGAATAAATCTTGAGGCCATCCTTCTACTCATAGGGCTAGATAGAGCAATCAGCTCACATAGAGTACAGCAGTACTCACCAGTGTGTGGGGAGGGAAAGGGGAAACAGAGACCACTGTTTAGCACAGAAATTCCGTTTTGTAAGATGAAACAGTTCCAGGGATTGAGTGCATAACAGATTAATACAATCCACCCTTTGACTATAAGTATCCCAGGACAGAGCTCATACTGGACTCCCCTCCTGTTTTTCCTACTGTAGGTGCAAGCCTGTCTCTGGTGTTCTTCACCCTCAACTTCACAATCACCAACTTGCATTATGAGAAGGACATGGGGCGCCCAGGATCTGAGCTATTCAATACCACAGAGAGCATCTTGAATCGCCTGGTGAGCCTCCTCCAATGCCAATGCTCAATCCTGTCGCTAATCCTCTGGTACGATGGCTCACTGCATTCTCTCTCTTTCATCCTTAGCTGAAATCCTTGTTTCACAAAAGCAGTATTGGGACCCTTTATTCTGGCTGCAGACTGATCTTGCTGAGGTGAGAACTGTAGAGTAGACCAGAAGGCCATGTGCTGTGTGGGGCATGACAAGCCTGCATCCACCATCCCAGGGACAACTAACCACTAGTTCCCATTCTGCCTTTGGCCCTTCAAGACTGAGAAATGCAAATAATTCTTTCCTTCCATGGAAATAAGGATGAGTGCTTTTATTGAGCACATATGTGGGGAGGTTGTTGGGTCTATATTATTGCCTCATTTCATGAATGAAAAAAAAGAACCACAGAGAGCTTGTGAAACGTATCCAGAGTGGCAGAACTGGGATTTAAACCAGTTGCCATTGCCTTCTTTCACACAGCAAAATTCTCAAATTCATTTCTTCAACCCCTTTCACCATAGTTCTGGTGTCAGGGTATGTGGCATATCATAATTTTGAAGTTTTGCACGGGGGCTAGGGATGTAGTTCAGTGGTAATAGAGTAATTACCTACCACGGACAAAGCCCTGGGGTTGATATCCAGTACTAGAAAAGTCAACATAAAATATAAAATTTAGCATAAATATTGACATTTGTTTATTCCCTTCTTTGTTCAGCGAGGGGACTGTGGCTGTCCTATTTGTTTCCAGCCCAGTTCTAGCACCAAGGCCATTTGATTAGCTACCAGTCTGCCTGCCTTGCCCACCCCCTCTCTCCTAGCTTGGAGTCTCCAGCCCTCCATCCTTATATCCCTCCCTGCCCAGGCCTGAGAAAAACAGAGCAGCTACTAAAGTGGATGCTGTCTGCACTCACCATCCTGATCCCACAGGCCATGAGCTGGACAGGAAGAAGCTGTACTGGGAGCTGAGCCTTGAGACCCATGGTGTCACCAAGCTGGGCTCCTACACCCTAGACAGGAACAGTCTCTACGTCAATGGTGAGCATCTTTTTAGTAACCATGGGCTGGAGCAGCTGAGAATCATCCCCTAAGAAGATGTGCAGGCGCTTCAGCGTGCCACACCCCAGTTCGTGTAGCACCTTCTACCTGAGTGCCCTCCTTGGATAACTTAGGGGCACCTGTAAATCTCCCAGCTTGAAGGGCTTTGCATCTCTGCATTCCAAGGTTGGGATCTGCACATCTGTCTCAGCCTTTCTCTCAACACATGAGGGGAGGAGCCCCTCTGACTGACGGGGATTCAGGAGCCTGATGATTCATCTCTGTATCCCTCTGGACCTCACAATCCACTCCAGACATTTAAAAGCACAACTTGCCCATGTATGTGGCAGAAATTTCTGTGTGTTTATCTCCTCAAATAAACCAAAAGCCCACAGACAGAAAGTGCATCTTGAATCGTTCTGCCTCTAGGCAGAACTGAAATACATCATAAAGGACAAAATATGCCAAAATATGCCCCAACCCTGGGGCTCACTGAGACAGGACTGAGATTGGGTGTGGTGGCGCATGCCTGGAATCCCAGCGCTTGGGAGGCTGAAAACAGGAGGACCACTATGAGTCCAATCTTTATAGTGAGACTCTGTAGACCCTGTACAAATACATAAAAATAAGTAAGTAAATAAATAAACAAATAAATGGGAGCTGAACCTTGAGACCCATGAGACCCCTGGTGTCATTGAAGGGCAGAAAAAACAGGCAGCCTACACCAAAAGTGTCCAACGAGGTAGACTAGAAGTCTCAGCTGGAGATGGAGCTGAGGCTTCTCAGGCTGTATCTTGACATATCTCTTGCTCATATCCCAATTTTGTCCCCTTTTCTCATTGCAGGTTACACGTTTCAAGCTTCTACTCCTACCCCCAGCAGTGAGTACTCCTGATAACTCCAGTGATTGTGTGCTCACCAAATCCCTCGTGCATAACAGCTGACCCTGAGTCCTTGGGGAGAAAAGGAAGCAATGGAATGTCTTGCCCCATGCACCTGCTTCACTCAGTAGCCTGAGAAGGGTGGAGAAGATCCTCACCCTTTCCCACCGTATTCTGTTTCTCCTTAGCTGCTGAGACTACAACATTTTCACCATGGACCTCGGTGGTGCCGGACCACTTCACCAGGTCTACAGGTAGATGAACCCTTTTTCCTTCTAGAAAGCCAACACCCAGCCCCAAAGCTCAGACCTGGGTGACATTGAGAAAGGAAGACACTAGGGAGCCTGAAAATGTCGTCGTTCCTCTTGCCATGCTGTGAGATCTCAAGAGCACAGGATGTTGTCTTCCTCATTCCTCCAGCTGTGTGGCCTTTAGGCAGTTCACCTACCTCCTCTCTGTACCTCAGTTCCCTCACCTGCCAAGTAGGCCCGTTCGTATTTCATAAATCTTTTGAGCATCAAATGAAAAATAGTCATATGCCACATAATAATATTTCTGTCAAGGATGGTTACATATGAGATGGTGATTGCATAAGACTATGACTTACTGATATTACTTTAGTTTGTCTAGGTGCCCTCTACAGTGTTGTCATGCTGGAGGAATCACCTAACATGCATTCCTCAAAACATGCTCCATGTGTTCATGAAGCAGAGATGTACAGTTAAGAATTTAGCACAGTGACTACTAGGATTTAGTTACACAAACATTTATTGCTAACCCATGCAATATGCAGCATAGAGGACTAGATATTCAATAAATCAGATGAAGTCCTTCACTAAGCGTAGTATATATTGAATCATCCTGAAATGGGACACATAGTCATAATTGATGATAGTAATACTGATTAAAAAGACAGCCAGTATGCTCAACACTCCCTATGTTGCATATCATACACTGTACCCTTCTTGAACCTTTATTTTAAATGAATAACCACAGATGTAGAGAGGCTAAAAATAATACAGAATTGCCCTATATTCTATACCCCATTCCCCCTCCATAGTTACCTCTTGCATAAATTTAGCAAAATACCAAAATCAGGAAGTTGATATTCCTAAAATCTATGGGACCTCACTCAAATTTTATGTATATTGGAGAACTGGTGTATGGGGGAGGACTGTTTGTAGAACTATAGCCACTTATTACTGGGGAATATTCCTCTAATCAAAATGAAAAACTGTTCCTAACTTCAGTACATGTTCTGGTCACCATGACTCTATCAGAATGTAGACAAAAGTAGATTTTGAGAATGCTGCATAAATGGAAATACACAACCCCTCTGACCTTTGGGATCGGCTCACATTTTCATGCAGTACAATGCTTCTGAGATGCACCTACTTGTAACAAATGATCATGTAACTTTCAAAACTCTGCTGTAAACTATGAGCCTTGCATTTTACATGGCTGTCAGCTGAGGGACAGTCAGGTACCACGCTGATGGTCACACAGTTAGAAAAGGGAAGAAGAACTTGAAACAGACATCATTCATTAATTGGCTACTGGTGGTAGTAAGCAGAGCCCTAAATTGTGGCCTCCTTGTCCACTCCCTGGCTGCAGGAGAAGCCCCTGTCCTGGTCCCATTCACCATCAACTTCACCATCCTGAACTTGCGGTTTGAGAAGGAAATGGCGCTCCCCAGCTCCCTGAAGTTCAACTTCACAGAGAGAGTCCTGCAGAAGCTGGTGAGAGCCCCGCTGCCCTCAGGCTGCTGCCAGTGCACCCTGCTAAGCACACAGCACACGCATCGCTCCCCAAGCCTCACCCACCCCTGCAGCCCCACGCACCGCACCCCTGCCCACTCTGTCTGCACAGACCTGAGCTCCTGTGCGTTCCCCTCAGTGACTCTGTCTCGCTCCTTCTCCTTCCTCCCAGCTCCAGCCCCTGTTCAAGAACAGCAGCCTGGGAGCCCTCTATGCAGGCTGCAGACTGGCCATGCTCAGGTGAGATGCTCCCCAGGAAAAGCAGAGACCAAACATGGAACTCTGCCTGAAGAGCATGCTTCATGATCCCAAACTGCCATTCGCTCCTCACACATGGTACTAAGAGAAACTATTGAGCTACCCCAGAATCTGGTAGGATGAGCAAGAGGGTTGCCCCTAGATGAAGGCCTGCCTTGACCACATAGGACATTAATGCCAGCCTCACCTACCTAAGGAGACCCTGTTTCAAACAGGAAAGCAGTGTGCAGGCCTCCCACGTGATGATTGCTTTCCCAGTCTCTATGCTCAGCTTCATTACCTCATAGGGAAGACAAGAGAAGTATTACAGGGTGAGGCCCTCAGTGGATTCAGAGAGCCCTGATTTGAAGCCCAGCTCTGGCATTTAATGACGTCCTTGCTGGCGACCCTCAGTGGGCTCCATCCTTCTAAGCATTGTGCCAGGTGGGGCTCTGCCCTCGAGACTGCAGCTTCCTCTGCACTAGTGCTTGTCCACATTCAGGCTGGGGCTGGTGAAAGGTTGGGGCCACACTGATGGAGACATCCTTCCACCAACCATGTGTGCTGCCTCGCAGGCCTGAGAAGAGGGGAGCAGCCACCAGAGTGGATGCCGTGTGCACACACCACCCTGGACCTGAAGGCTTCAGGCTGGACAGAGAGCAGCTTTACTGGGAGCTCAGCCAGATGACCCGTGGTGTCACCCGCCTGGCCGCCTACACCCTGGACAGGGACAGTCTCTACGTCAGTGGTGAGCAGGAGGGATGTGGCAGGGCTCTTTCTCTTTCTGGGTGGACCCTCCTTTCTGGTAATGTTCATGTTCTCTGTCTCTTTCATGAGAGCTTATGATGGGCTGACTCTGGCGGGGCTCACTCTCCTGTGCCAGATTAATCCTTGGGGCCTCTGCTCTGCTGTGAGGGTCCCCATAGAGAATCTCCTGGGAGTTCTCCATTCACGAATGTCCCTCACACCGCCACTGGGTACACAGATCCTCCATCAGTACCCTATGTGTCCAGGGACACTAACTACCCCCTCCCTGCTTCTCCCTGCAGGATTCAACTACCGCAGCTCTGCAGTCATCATCAGCAGTGAGTATTCAACAATGTACAGTGACTTCCCGCACTTCCTCAGCCCAGGCAGAGAAGGAGCTGGCACTGCCTTCGTGGCCCCATGATGTCCTCCCCAGGATCAGCGGCTGTGGGGGGCACAGTCTTTCACCCCCCACTTCCCCAGCCTCACCCAGAGCCCCAGCTCAGCCCCATGTGCAGCAAGCCCCATGAGCAGTCTGTCCTGCTGCCCTGAGGATGCCTGCAGCTTTCACTCAAAAGAGCTTCTCCTCAGGTCCTGGCACCCCCACAGTGCTCCTGGGAACCTCTCCAGCTCCACTGTCCTTCTCCAGCCCCACAGGTGAGTGTGCAGCACTTTTGTGACAGATCACATGAGCCTGCTTACAGGCTCCAGCATGGCACACTCAAAGGTAGAAGCCCATAGGGCTGCTGGTGACAGTGAATCAGGTGCAACAGCACCCAGAAAAGCCTGGTTCAACTTGTGCTAGGTCCTGGGGATGCCTGGGGGAAAGGAGGTCATCTCTGTCCTCGGTGCATACAGCTGTGGTGAGGAGGGTGGTGATCCTCCTGGAGATGTTGAGGACCGTGATGCTGCTCTTGTGCTGGGAATGATGGTGGCAGTTCTCCAGGGGGTGACAGCCATGGTGCAGACAGTGCTGCCACTGCTGCTTATCATGATGATCATGATGACCATGATTTAAAGGTGGAGACCCATCCGTGGAATTCTCTGGATGAGTGTCTCCCTTACTCTTCGCTCCTTGCTACCCAACATTAAAAATGAAGGAAGGAAAGGCTTATGTACCTCACAGTCAATGGAGATTTCAGCCCATGCTAAATTGGCTCCAAGGTAGGGTGGCACATGCCAGAGAGAGCAACCATTCATGGTAGTGGAAAATTGCAAGAGCAAGACCAAGAAGTAGCAGCATCAATGGCAACATAGAGCAAGTCTGTCTCCCTTATGTTGCATTCAGGCCATTAGCCCCAGGCTGGGTGTAGGATTCATACCCATAATCCCAGTGGATCATGAGTTAATCACAAACTGTAGAAGTCTTCCGCATAGTCACATGAGGCTGTGGGCGGACAGCAAGACACCAACCATAACATTCCCCCCGGAACTCCAAAGACACATGCACATCCCTTTATGCAAAAGGCATTTTAGTCCATCTCTAAGAGCTGCCAAATTCCCAACAGTTTTGCATTGCAGAAAAGTCCAAGCCCCAAGTCTCCTCCAAGATCCAAGGCAAACTCCCAGCTGTGAGTCCCTATACACATGAAAAATTAAACATTTCCAAAATTCAATGGCACAAGATAAACATTACCATTCCAAAAGGCACACACAGCAGGACACCAAGCACTGGGACCAAGCAAGTCCAAAACCCAGCAGGGTCAACATTAAGTCCCATCATTCTATGTGGAGCCTCTGATGCAATTGTGGCAAATTGTAAGCACCATATGGTTCCACCCACATGGCACCCTTAGTGGTAGCTCCTGTGGCTTCTCTCTTAGTCCAGCTTTGCTCCACATGTGCAGTTTTCCTTAGATCCACATTCCTGGCTTTTCCAAACTTCTGGGGGTTTTACTGAATAGGCTTCTCACTCACAGCTTTATATACTGCCCTCCCAGAGTCACACTGCCTGGCCTCCCAGGACTTCTTCTGAAATCTAGGTAGAATCCATCTTAACTTCAGAACTCCTGCATTCTGCAAGCACTTAAAACCAAGGCCACATGGATGACGCCAAGGTCTGCTGCCAACTGGAGCAGAAGTCAGGCTTCCTTCTCTCTTGGGATGTAGGGGCTGAGTGCCTGGATCACTGAACACTCTGCCCCTGATTCCAAGGAATAAATTCCCCATGCCTGTGCCATTCTGGAATATGATGTGGCTGCTGCAGCCGTTCTGGAACATCAGGCTCTGTGGCTTTCCCCTCAAGGCAAAGTCCCTCTCCCTTGCAATTCTGAAGCTGCAAAGGGTGGAAACCTGCTTCCTTCAGTGATGCCCTCAGGCCATATTTCTATTCTCTCGTTCCTTCTCAGCAATGAGGATCTTAGCTCTACCTTTGCATTCCACAGCTTTATTGGAGGTTCCTTTCTGGCCACACTCCCGACATTTTAAATCATCATGCTGGGCTCTTTGCTCTTCATTCTCAACATAAATCTGACTAAAAGCCCTCCAATAATAGCCGTGCTACTACCTCAATATTTGACTGCTTTGAAAATTCTTTTTCCAGAGTAATCAGTCCTCCACGCTTAGTCTCAGTCTCAGGCAAAGTCTCTGGACATGAGCAAAATGCAGACAAACTTTCTGCCAAGCCATAGCACAAATTATCTGTAGTCCAACAACCAATGCATTTCTTCTTCACAGCAGAAACCTCTCCAGCCTGGTCTTTACAGGAAGGATTTCTACCAGCCTTCTGGTCTTCTAAACTGTGACCAGAACTCCCATACAGAACAGCCAAAGCTGTCCCAGAACATCTCTTGTAGGCAACCTCTCCAAACCTTTCCTATCTCTTTCCATGAGGCACTCCCTAAAGTTGTAATCCACTTGGTCAGTTTTAGACGCAGCAACCACCCCACTTCTCTGGTACCAAATTCTGTCTCAAGTACTCTTGTTACTGGGACAAAATACCCAACACCCAAGATGAAGGAAGAAAAGGTTTATTTAGTTCACAATCAATGGAGGTTTGAGTCTATACTCAGCTGGCTCCAAGGCAGGGGGCACATGGCACAAAGAGCAGCCATTCATGGTGGCAGCAAAGAGCAAGAGCACATGGGAAGAGTAGCAACAACATGGTGACAGAGAGCAAGCCTGTCTCATCACATTGCATTCAGGCCATCCGGCCCAAGCTGGGTATAATACTCACATCCCAGCAGTAAGCACACCCATAACTCAGTGGATCAGAAGTTAATCACAGATTCTAGAATTCTGCACCATGACTGCATGAGGCTGTGGGGACAACTTGGCACAAACCATAACTAGGGGTGAGCAGCACACACAGGGCCGAGAGCCTGGAATCCAGTCTGCTTTTGGCCTTAGACACTGTGTAAAGCAGGCACGCTGCAGCCCTTCCCACAGTCTCCATTTCACATCTGATCAACAGGGATCAGGAACCATCTACTTCCAAAGCAGTGACACCAAACGGACTAATATCTTCACAGCATTGTGTTGTTTATTTTTCAAAAGTGAGTCCACACATGCAGAAGAGTGTAGATAGTTGTACTGCTGATTTCTGCCAGGTTTCAGAGAGGAATAGCTCTGCTTAAATTATTTTTCCCTTAAATTTCTTCCAAAATGTTTTTTATCCCTTTTGTATTTTGTTGAAACCAATCTTGCACATTTAATTTTGGTAACCTGAATGACTAACTTAAACATGACATCATTCGATACAGCAACCATTGTTGAATTCTTGTCACATTATTTAGTGATATTTTGGGTCATTCCCAATGTTTTGTTTTTACATTTTACTTTATTTTATTTTGAAGTCTAAACAGAAAAGCAAAAACTAATTGCGGAAAAAAACACAGAAACAAATAACATAAAATAATACATCTGTCACACATTTACAAACCAAGAATAGATAATTAACATTTGTTGTTACATTATCAACTTTTACTCTCAAATTTATTGCTCAGGTTAACAGATATAGCTATGAGAGACTGGACAAACCATTCATTACTAATGCTTTCTTTTAATAACCCATAATTTTTTCTTGTCTTCACTACATAAAGGACAGCATGTGTAACCACAAAAACCATGGTTGAATACCTCTCCTCTAGGTCTTCTAAATGTGTACTGTTTCTACTGTCTTATCACTTATTATTATTATTATTATTATTATATTGTCTAACACTGTGTTTTCTGATGACTGTTTTGTTTATTTTGAGTAAGTTAACAACTTACAATAGGGCCTGACACATACACTGGGAATTGCATCTTCAATTATTTAAAATTGATAAAGAAATGGACTTCAGAACTACAATTGGGGTTACAGAAAAAAAAATCTTAGAAAAGAGAATGTGGGGATCTTTGCTGCCTGCATGGTCAGATCTCTTTGCTTTCACCCTGGGAATTCACTTCCCTGCACAGAGCAGTTTTCCATATTTCAGTGTGAGCTGCTTAATTAACTATGAATTATGAGCTGCATCCTTGAGGAGAAACCCTTCATCCTGGAGGCAGATGCTCTGGGAGGTTGACCTTGCACACCAGATGCGAGCCAGGCTCAGATTCCCAGAGCAAGTACAGGCTCAGGGCCTGCATGTTTCCCTCTACCCATGTAGGGGCCTCCCTGGTAACATTCAAAATCAACTTCACCATCCTGAACCTGCAGTTCGAGGAGGACATGGCACTCCCGGGATCCCTGAAGTTCAACTTCACAGAGAGAGTCCTGCAGAAACTGGTGAGAGCCCCGCTGCCCTCAGGCTGCTGCCTGCAAAATCTGCTCCCCACACATCACACTCATCACTCCCCCAGCCTCTTCCACCCCTGCCTACCCCATACACCACACCCCTGCCCACTCCCTCAGCACAGAGCCTCAGCTCCTGTGTGCCCCCCTCAGTGATGCTCTCACTCCTTCTCCTTCCTCCCAGCTCCAGCCCCTGTTCAAGAACAGCAGCCTGGGAGCCCTCTATGCAGGCTGCAGACTGGCCCTGCTCAGGTGAGATGTTCCCCAGGAAAAGCAGAGACCAAACATGGAACTCTGCCTGCAGACCATGCTCCTTGATCCCAAACTGCCCTTCCTTCCACATGGTACTAAGAGAATCTTCAGGTCTACCCCAGAATCTTGGAGGATGATACAGGAGGCTTCCCCCGAGTTGAAGGCCAGCCTGAGCTACAAAGGAAGTTAATACCAGCCTAACCTACATAAGGAGACCCTTTCTCCAAAAGGAAAAGCACTGTCTAGGGCTGGCACTTCAAGTTTACTCTTTTCTCCCAGTCCCTACCCCCAGCTTCATTTCCCTCACAGAGAAGACAAGACAGGTGTTTACAGGGTAAGACCCTCAGTGAGTTCAGAGAGCCCTGATTTGGGGCCCAGCTCTGGCCTTTGCTGAGGTCCTTGCTGGCGATCCTCAGTGGGCTCCATCCTTCTAAGCATTGTGCCAGGTGGAGCCCTGCCCTCGAGACTGCAGCTTCCTCTGCACTAGTGCTTGTCCAC